GCGGCGTGGCAGCGATCTCTCTGTTCAGTTGGGACGGAGGGCATACGCCAGGCGCCAAAAATCAATTTCATGTCACATCCTTCGCTCCTCATGCTTTTGTTTCTTGTCCTCACGTGGTCAGCTCCCCGCTGATTGAGCAGCATGACCAGCATCATGTTCGCACTTGAAGAATAATTCCCCAAAAGGTTTAGGGCTTCTCAATTCTTTTCTTAAGATATGTCCGCCTGCTCTGTACGGCTGTGTCCGTCTCTGCCTTGCAACCCTTTACATTTGTCTCCCAGCTCTGGGCTGCTGTGGCCGCCTCTGCCTTGCGCAATCCCTTGTCCAAGCTCTAGTTTCGATGTTGAAAAACACACTGTTTGGGGTCTACGGTGGTGTAATTTGTTGTTTTGAAGCGCCGGTTTTCACACCTATGTTTCGCGCCGTCGTTATATATGTCTATCTGTCTGTCTGTATGTATGCTATGTTGTGTAATGTAATGTAATGTAATGTCGTGTCGTGTCGTGTCGTGTCGTGTCGTGTAGTGTAGTGTAGTGTAGTGTTATGTATGTATGTATGTATGTATGTATGTATTCTCATTTTGGGATATCAGCCAAGGCCTGGGTTTAAGGCTGAGGGATCAATCGTGTTGCAAATTGTCAAGCGGTTGGAACGTAATTTGAGACATGTGACTGGTGTCATACTCATTGCTGATTCCACGCTTATGGCAAACACGCCACAAGTGAGGTGGCTAGCGAAGCTGGAGAGCTCAAGGCCCAAGCAGGTGCATGTGGCTTGGCGTTCGCACAGTGTCAGCATTTGCCCCTAGTGGCCCCAGTGTCACTGTAGCACGTCGGCTTTGGCAGCTGCGCGAGCTTTGTACCACGGAAGTTGTGTCCACGTGAGATTCTCGTATCCTTGCAGCAGCTTGGCTTTAGGCCTAAACTTGGGCATCCTCTACAATAGCCGTGGCAACCATGAGAAGTCTGTGGAGCTATTGGAACAGCATTTTGATCTGGCAAGGCTGTTGGGGCCAGACAGTCAAGTATGGGCGAATGCTTTAGAAAGCAGAGTTCGCGCTTGCGTCTCCCAAGAAACTGTTGGATTGGGATTGTGCAATTTGCAGACCAAAACCTTAGAGTAGAACCCCTTGAAAGACCGACACTCTGCAAGACCATAAAAGACGTGACAAGGAAGAGCGTGAACAGCGTTAGTTTCCTTCCCACTGTCCAGGAGCAATGTTGCGACTTAAAAGTCAGATGAAGTAGGTAGCAACTAAACGGTTTAATTTATGTGCCCGACGAAGGCAAGCGAAACAATTCTTACAGTACATATATATATATACATTCTGTCTATACTGTGGAAACATAGACGACTAAGTACTTGTGTTTGATTTTGGCTCAAGGGGAAAAGGCCGCTACTGTGTTTTGATGGTAGGGAGAAAGCCTGGCGACTCCGAACTAAAATAACACCAGCGTAGACCCAGATAGCTAGGCAGAATCCCACGACCTGTTGACATGCGACTGGCTGGAACAAGAATGTACGCAGCTTGCGCAGCCAGCTTATGGCACCTCCACAGCGCGCGCAATCAGCTGACACCAGCACCGGTGCACTTTGCCAGCTGACAACACCGGCAGCGGCGCCAGCGCCCGACCAGCGCCGCCGCCCGTTTTAAACGCGCGCTCAGCCAGCTGACCACAGCGCCGATACCCTTTCGAAAGCGCGCGCAGCCAGCTCATTCTTATTTGCAGCAAGAACCCCATAGCTATCCCTATTTGGGGAATAAGTGGGAATAACAACGTGTGATCTTGCGCGCAAAAGTTTATACGCGCAAAAGTATGCGCGCCGGCGGTTTGTTACCCTTGACTCTTAGAAGCGGCGGTTGTTGTCACTTCACTGTCAGAAGCGGGCGCCAGCACCGAGCACCGGCACGCCAGCTCACGGCAACAGCACCAGCAACCTGTCTCCACCGCGCGCGCAGCCAGCTCACACAACACCAGCACCGGCATCCAGCACCGGCGCCCGGCGCCAGCGCCAGCAACCTGTCTTCACCACGCGCGCAGCCAGCTCACAGCACCAGCACCAGCGCCGGCACCCATCCACCGCGCGCGCAACCAGCTCACAGCACCGGCGCCCGGCGCCCAGCACCAGCGCCAGCACCAGCGATTTGTCTCCACCACGCGCGCAGCCACCTCACAGCACCAGCACCAGCACCGGCTCCCAACCCCCAGCGCCGGCGCCCGGCCAGCCAGCAACCTGTCTCCACCACGCGCACAGCTCACAGCACCAGCGCCCGCACCGGCGCCCGGCGCCCGGCACCGGCACCAGTGATTTGTCTCCACCACGTGCACAGCCAGCTCACAGCACCAGCACCAGCACCGGCTCCCAAGCGGCTGACGGAGCCCGTCACAGCTGGGAGTTGCGATCTCCCGGGCTCCACGGTCGCGCTGAACAAGGAATGGTATCCGCTTGCAGGCAAAGCAAGGAAGAGGGTACTTCTGAAAGAGAGTGGGGTGGATGGCCACTGATGAAAAGGTGGCGCGAACCTTGGAAGACGTTTTTTCGAAAAGGACCACGAAGCGCGTCCCCTTTGATAGGAGGAATCGTAAGGCAAGCAGCGGTGTACCCTCCGCAGCCACCAACAGCAGCAATGTCCAGTCGACGCGCTAGTGAAGGCAGGCCCAGCGACCTTGGACTGGACTTGGAAGCCGCTGCGGAAGGAGATGGCAATGCCGCAAGGGCACCGTGCAGAGAGTTGGATTAAAGCATGGCACGCCGTATCCAAACCCGCTATTTGTAAGCTGAACGGCGCCTAAAGGTGACCCACGCCCCTGGAAAAAATGGCGCCAGGAGCAGCGTCGTAAAACAGTGGAAGACTTCCAATATGCTTTCCTTGGTGGCAGGAGCAAAGGGCGACTAGATATCCTTGAATGAGGACCCTGGGCAGACTCCGCTACCTTGAGCTAGGTGTAAGAACAGCATCCAGGACAAGATGGGGGCAGTGAGTGTAACGGGAGAAGAGAAGTTCTACTTGTTTTGCACCGCTTACTCAGAGCTTAACCTCTGCCATAGAGCCCATACCTAACTCCGTTTTGCACAGTCTCGAGTATAGTAAGTGCATGCTATTGTCTTTGGCGCAAGGAGAGAAGGACGCTCCGTAGCGTCAATACTGTGTTTTGATATACTGTAGATAAAATCCTGGGTGAGCTCCATAGCAGGTTAGACTTGAGGTGGTGCTTGGCATGACTTTGCCACGCACAAGCGCACAAGGCATGACATTTCAATTTTGCACGGCGCGCATCATGCAACATTTGGCCACCAACCACGCAAAAATGCAATGAGGGTTCTCTAGCTCCTTTTGCGCCATTGTCTGAGTTTGACAGGGTCGGCGCAGTATCCGTAGGCAGTGCTATTTTGCAACCAGTTGTGTTTGATGGTGCACGCACAGCGGAAATTTGTTTGCGTTACCTTCACACCAGCCAGGCAGATTGGAGATCGGAAGCTGATTGACTCTGCTCGAACCATGTCTGAAATCGGTGATTATCAGAATCTTGCAACCATGCTTTGCAGGTTCAGAGCTTTTCATGGCCTACAATAAATGTTTAACTTGCTTGTACAATTATAGGCCACCCCACCCCTTTCTAGAGTTCTAAATTTTGTTGAACGTCTCACAGAAAGTTCCTCGATGCTTCTGCTAGTCATTCTGAGACTTTATTTGTTGGGTTATCACGAAAGGTAGCGGTTACGCTACCTGAGGTTTCCTTTTGCTTTAGCAAAAATGAATTATAACCAGAGTGGACACCTATCTCATTGAGAAATCGCCTCCGACATATACTTTTGAGGGCCGAGGCGGGGGGCCAACCCCCCTTTCAACTCCACCCTGGCGCGGCTCTTTGTCAACAGCTACAAAACTCTGTAAATACCAGTGTTCTCCTCCAGTCTGCAAAAGTGGCACAGGGTTTTCTGTGGCTGTCCGGCCAAAAACCTTGTAAAAACCGATGGTTTTTGAAGTGTCAAAAATGGTCGAAAAATTGCCAAAAACATGGAAAAGTTTTGTCGGAAAGGGTTTTTTCGGCCAATGATTCCGTTAGATCCCCCCCACCCCTCCATGGGCCAATCATGCCATTGGATCCCACCATTATTGCCGTCGATGTGCAAGTGATCCACTTTTTCGATGCGTATGTGATCCCCGATGCGCAAGTAATCCAAAAGTCGATGCACAAGTGAATCCCCCGCCGTTGTGAAGACAATTGGTCGAAGAAAAACTTTTAAACACTAGTAGACTTTAGAAAGGAGTTACAGGGTTTGGAATTGGAAACCATTCAAACCATGGTATGTCATGTTTTAGAAATGTTTTTTAAGGGACAAAACAGAAAGTCTATAATTTGTTTTGCCGTATATACAATTTTCACATCAATACAGTTTGACTTATTTCTAGTCAGCAATCAAAATCACCCTTAACATTCTTTAGTACTCCCCTATTCTTAACCAATCAGTTTACAACACATATGTCAAAACTTATGCCAGACATATATACACCATGTATATATATATATACACACATATTTGAGAGATACAGATGAATCGTATTGTTCTCACCAACAATCAAAAAATATTGAACACATCTCCGACTTTGCAATGTCACGGACTGCATCTCTTTTTGTCTTAGGAGTTGTGCTGGGCATGGTCCGTGCAGAGCTCAGCTTGCAGACAGAGGGTTTCAGATGATGTATTTGCGCAACAACACGCGAGGCGGGAATGGCAAATTGAAAGCTTACATCAACATGGTGAACCATGATTTGGACAAGCTCCTGAAATGGAAAAGCAACTCGCTTGCATTGCAGTTTGCAACTGTTGCTCGTTCTACATGGGGTGGATTTGGCCTGAGCGCCAAGGCAAACGTGCAACTTTGGACTCATAGTGCTTGTAGCCGCTTGAAATCGGAGCGGTGGGAGGATGTGTGTATATAGCTGTGTAGTGAGATGCAGCAGCGCCAGTGACACTAGGCAGTACCGCAAAGAGGGCAACAGAACCAAGTCAGTGGGAAAGTCCCCTTCCTCTTCAAACCTGCAACCTGGCCAGCCTGCGTTCGTTTCACTGCCTTCTGATGGCAAGCCTGGTCAGTCTGGAGATCATTTGCTATTCCGAGCACTGCAAGAGATGAACACTAAGCCTGACGAAAGATGAACTGCTACAATCAAGGCTCTTCGGTTGTTTTGCACCTGCAAGAGAACAGTGCAGCTTTTCAACTACAAACGTAATGCAGCGGGTGTTGGTTGACTCAAGTCTTGGCACCTTTAAGAAGAAGTATCCATGGAAAGACGTGCTACTGTAACACTGTATTAATCAAGGATATTCCAACTTTGCTTTGAACATACGGTATGCCTCCCAAAATAAATACATCATCATGTGTATATATATATATACGCATTTTGTTGCGCACAATCGTTGCGAGTATTTCGCAAGCCCTCAAGCAGAATTATTATGCAACGAGTGGTTAATGGTGGTTTGAACAAGCCTGTTTAACAGGGTTCTAGGTCAGAATGAATTTCGAGCCAGACCGAGTTTCCTAGTGCATCGAACACACAGAAACACAATACCATTGTAACTGTGGACATGAGTCTGCACAATTCACCTGCAGATGTCCTCAAGCCTAACGGGTGTGGTGTGGTGTTGCTGGTCACTATTATGGTTGTAACTTGCGGCACTACTAAGTATGGGGGTGCTCGCTGCATGTGGTCGTGTTGGACACGTGAGCTGAAAACCAGCTTGACTCCCGCAGAAGGCATTCGTGTCTCACAGCGCAAAAATGCGAGGCTTTGGGGCTTTATCCAGGACTAATTGTTTTTGTACCAACGCCTTGAGAAGGACGCGCCTCCTGTGAGGCTATGTGTTGGACCTGGTGGATGAGGGGAATGCAAGTGCAATTGTGCTCTCAGGTATTTAAGCTAAGTGTTCCGGAGAAATCATGCTCCCAGGGAAACTGGTGTGTGTTTCATGTTTCACCACCACAATGACGTTCCTTTACGACTGCTGGCATTCGTCCTGTATCATCCTACAAAAGCTCTTTGGGTTTCTTCCATTGCAGCAAGTATGCGAGTGTTGCACTTCCTACTGAGCTGCGTGCGCTGCTTGTAGCAGTCATTGTGTGTTGGTTGTAGCCACCGTTTCATCATTCATGGTTTGGCCGAGTGTTTGATCTCATGAGGTTTGATTCTTGTCTCCAAATTCACTTTGATGTCAAGTTGATTGTTTATATGCTCTGGCTTCGAGCAAAAAGGATCGAGCAGGCACTATGATGGCCGCACTGAGAATTACCAGTAGATGGCCCCTCCATTTAGTATCTAAGGGCTTACGCCAGACAGCCGGCCAGGGACCCTCAGAGGGGAAAGGGGAAAGAGGAGGGTAATGGAAGGGAGAAGTAAGGGAGGAGGAGGAGGAGTAACTGTTGGTGTGGGGGTTGTAGTAGTTGTATTTGGTGCTGGTGCTGGTGGTGGTGGTGGCAGTAACTGTTGGTGTGGAGGTTGTAGGTGGATGTAATTGTAGTGATTGTAGTGGAGTTTCTGTAGTGAAGAAAATAAATGGGGAGAGAAAGAGGAGAAGGAAGAAAGACAATGAGAAGCTTCAAAAGGAAGCAGAATGAAGAAAGAAAAGGAAGAAAGGAGGGAGGGAAGGCAGGAAGGAAGGAAGGGAAGGATGAACGGAGAGAGCTTAAGGTTTAGTAGGGATTTTCAAGCATTTGAGAGGAAAGGAAAGTGTTGAAAGGATTGGAATTACGGTCGGATGTATGACACATTTTGGGAAAGAAACGGCTTGAACAGAGAAGCTTTGCAATGCAGCTGGGATTTTCTGTATTAGGCATGCGTATTTTTTTGCTGCTTGAAGGATTATGTTTTATGTTAGTTAGTTTGCTTGAAATTCTCAAGTCTCTTTATTTATATAGCCTCAGAATGTTTGTCAACATCTCTGCATTACAGTCCTCTTTGTGTCAACATTCTCAAAGCCCGTTTTCACACCAGTAAAAATGGAATTGTGCTCACGCCAAGCTCCGTTCAACCTTCAAGTCCACATCCCAGACTTGTTTGGAGCATGTTTGCATCACAAGAGTTGCTGAACCAATCAATAATAAGCTTTCCTCACTCAAAAATTTACCTTCATTCGTTTTGCTTACCGTTGTTTATCACTTTGCATCCTGAAAATTGTTGAACTGACAAGCTCTCCCCTTCACCCCACGGCTCATTGAGATCTATGTCTAAGCGTTGTTGGGCGCAGATAGTGATCAGATGCGAAGCGGTTTCGGCGATAATAGATATTGGGGGAAGCGAGTAGAATGTTGCTGTCAACAAGATTATTATTGACTTGAGGAGGCTTCTTTTGGAAGTTTAGCTCAAAAAGATTTTAAAAAGGAGCTAGGCAGCAGGGAGCTGAATCAATCTATTGAGTTTGTTATACCTCAAAGAGTTTGCTGAATGATTCGTTCATATGTTTAAGGCAGTCAGCTTATTTGCAAAACCACACGGAGAAACCACACCACAATACTATGGCCGACAGTTTCCATATCTCAGAAGCATATATGTAATTGTTTGATAAAACTATTTGGTCACGGCAAATTGGATGCCTGGGTACCAGATATTGCTCTCCCCAATCGAGGATTGTGTTTATTTATAAGATTCTATATGAACATGCGGAAAAAGTAGAATGGCGTCGGTTGGATTCACTAAGAAGTTCATGAAACTGTGGCTAATGAAGCTGCTTTCTTCTATTTTGCACTTTGGTGTTTATTATTATTCTTGGGAAAGGCTTAAGGTTTAGTTGTTGATACTAGGTCTAATTGATTGGGAAGGCAATAAACTCTATATGGAAAGCTTAATATTCTCTTTGGCTTGGGGAAGTTAAGCCAAGTTGGTCATGCGTTCTTTGTGGTCAACTTTATTGTTAGGAAGACTGCCTTTTAAGCAAGCTTGCTTTAGCTCACACCACTCCAAAGCTTTATTGTTGTCTATTTTATCTAACAGTTTATCCACTTCAATTCATCATTATTTTATTATTACGTTATTACTATACAATTACTATCTGTATAATACATTATGCTTTGTCCTACCGCATTAATACGCGTGTTGTTGTAGCTTGTGGCACTTGCATTCTCCTAATTTGCTATGCGCCTCTAATTTTGTTAGTCGTTTTTTGAACTTTACCGAAGGTTCCGCCGGCAGTTATTTTTTAATTTGGTAAACTTCTGGCTGCGAAACAGTCATTTTGCAGCTTTATCACATCTCATTTGATTTAATGGTCAATTCCATTCCTCTTACCTCATGAAGCTTTAAATAACACTTGTGCCTAAAAGGAACTAGATAGCGGAAAGCAGAAAAATTTATTGATTGGTGACTGCCGGGTATTGTTTGTTATTGTTTTATATTTTATTGTACATGTTTGGATTGATTATATACGTTTAATATCTTTTTATTATTTAATGGCCACTTTCTTTTGATCGATCTCGGCTTGTGACTATTTGGGTCCC